CGACACGAACAGAGCTTCCAAGGAGGTCACTTTGATTAGAAAAGCAAATCGAAACCGGAGAAGGGCCTTATTGGACAGACACAAGGATTTCTTACCAGATAACATTGACACACTATAGACGAAATCAACTAGGGATTCTTCCCTATGGCCAAATCATGACTTGAGAGAGAAGATCAAAACAACAATAGGTGATTAACCTCAGCTATTAGCTAAAGATAAAGTTGTCTTTGCTAGATGATTGCAGATGAACTTTTGATGGACCAAAAGTGTGTTTGAACAGAGTCGTGGATGAGATTTTGAAGTTATCTGCAACTAAGATTTGAGGAATAGGATTGTTTTAGTTGAGTAAAATCGAATTGTAAAGAGATTGGGAGCAATCTCTTAGGGTAGATTAAGATTAATCAACCAAAGTCTCTATGTGTTCTATAAATAGGGGTGACACTTTTTGTTCTGGCGCAAGATTTGCTTTCTAAGAGTTGAGGAGAGAGGATAAAAGTGATAGATTGAGAGCTTTTCCTCGTAAAGTGGTGATTATACAAGGTTGGAAAATAAGAGAAATTTCTTATAAGTCGTCCTTCTTTTCTCCTATCTTCTCGGGGTTGAATTCTACATCCTTAGCTTATCTCCTATTCTGTGAGCGTGTGTGTTGTGTTTGGAAAAGTAGTCGGGTTTCTAGATGTTGCCTACAATGGAGAAAAGGACTCCAATGAGGATGGTCTTCTAGTCTGATGGCGGTGTTGCCGACGAGAAAAAGACTTGGCTATCCTGTCTAGTTGCAAGCACAAAGGAAAAGGAAAGAAGCAGGTGGATAAGGCAAAGGGCACGGGCACGGGCACGAGCACATGAGACCTACAGACAGGTTTCCAGCGCATGAGGCACATGTGATATAGGCCAACGCATGTAAGAAGAAAGTGGGCGTGTGGGCGCGCATGTGGGAAAGTATAGGCACATAGGCCAAAAACCCTAACTGCGTGAGGGAGTGTGAAAGGGAAGGACTCGGGCTAAAACGAGTCGTTTTGGTGAGGAACAAAGAAACAGTTAAGACTTGCTAGACAAGAAATAGGCTAATCTTCAAGTTTGTTTTAGGTAATAAATTTTTAGGCTTCTGCTAACCTGATGACATATATATTAGATTTCTTGTTTCTATCCGAGAATATGTTCATGCTCATGCCAAAGGCCTATCAATCTTCTATTTTCCTTGATTTACTATGCAAAACACTATGTGAAAGGGTAATTTTAAATATAAAAACTTGTCTTATCCTGTTTTATTCAATCTAGCTTGCATTATTTAATCTAGTCAACCAAACATGTCCTGTGAAAAATACTGTTACAAGTACCATCCGACCCAGTGAACATACCCATCACTCAACCAATACCAAACGAAATAAAAGAAAACAAAATAAAAGTCCTAGTATAGAAAAGAAAATGGAAATAAGCTCTCATACTGATCAATAATTTCTTGAATACTAAACAATATCTAGAAACAAATCAATAATATCAATAATGAATAATAGCGAAAAACTAATTGACAAACTAGTATGAAAGCCAAAAGTACTTTACAATTTGAAATTAGAAAAACCTATTCATACCTTAACAAGTAATCAAGACCAATCCATCTTCCCTTGCACTTATTTATCTCGGATCGTTAGAATGTCTCCAACTCTTCAGCTTAGGACAACTGAAATCAATTATTAAATGATTGATTTTTATTAGAAATAAAAATCTCCAATCCTAGGATGATTGTCGAATGCTTTCAGAAAGCATTTGATTAGTCTTCAATAAAATTTTTCTGAATTTGTATGATTTTGGTTGAGACCTCAAGTCTTTATTTTATAACCCAAGAAGTTCTATGAGGTATATGAGTCCTTAGAAAGCTTGAAAAACCCTCAAAATCTTGAAAACTCACAAAGAATCTCACCATGATGCGCCATAGCAAGCTCTGGCGCGCTAAAATATGCTAATTTCAATGAGCAACGTGCCACAGTCACAATTACAGTAACTTTTTTTTACAAAAAAACCAAACTCTCTCACACCCAAACTTTCAAATAGGCATCTCGCAATCCTAAATCTCTCAAAAATTCTTTTAGATCATACCTATCCTTGTTATTGAGAATCAACGCTTAATAGTTCTTCATTCCATTAGTGCAAATAATAGGCTAGTTTAGAATATGAGATGAGATATTCTACTTGTGCTTAGGCTTCCTTAGAGCCCGATGTTGTGTGGACATTGCATCTTCGCCCCTATTTAGATGTCCTTTTTTTCTTCTTTTCATTGGTACGCCGTTTTTGACATACAAACTATGGATTTAGATTAATGTTTGGCTCATCTTTGCCATGTATAGATTTTTGTGGTTGGACCACTGGTTTGAGACACCGCCGCTTTAGGCTGGCTACCACCATTTTCTCAGCTTATTTTGAAATATCCCCACAAATGATAAATGTTTTACCATCTTTTTTGAGATAATTCTTCTGTTCTCAGTGATAATAAATGGCATCTCTCTCCTATTGGAAAGAGCTACCAAAAATAATGTGACATATGTCAACCAGTACCAGCTCACATATTACCTCGTTCATGAATTGTTTGGTGATAGCAAAACGAATCTTGCATTGCCGCTTGATCATTCTAGCCACATCATCATAAATATACCCTAAGGTATAAAGGTGAGTATATGACATCATCTCCAAACCCAACCTTTACAAAACTTTCAGAGATTTGATTTTTCTCACATTCTATGTCAAAGCTTGCATTGATGACCTCATTTTCACTTACATTTGCATGATGAACAACTCCTTAACCTCAGGCAATGGCAACGATTTTGGGTTTGTCCCCTTCGACTGGACCATCAAGGACAAACTTGGCATTCCAAGTCAATCACATGCCCCACCTCAACAATATCTCTAGTTATGACAACGGCAATGGTCCGCTTTTCGCAGTCATTCCTTTTTTGTATCAATTCCAAGTGAAACTTCCAACAACCCTATTTGACAATGACTATAGTATCTCCCATAACCCGATTCTTCCACTCAATAGCTATGGCGATTGTGCTTGCTCCAGTTAGATCATGGATTGAGAATCGTCTGAGTTCGTCCTACATCCTCTATCGAAATCCAGAAGTATATTTTATACAGGTGGTTGGATTTCACAATAACACCCCAAGGGTCACTACTTATTTTTAAAACTCTGTGGTATACTTCTACACAATCTGACCCTTTTTCTGATAAAGTTTGTGTCATTGATTCTAGCACTACTCTAAGTAACCCATGAAATAGAATTCCTGGCAGATAAGTCGCTTAATCTGCTTTTAAGTAATATTCTCTATCTCCTCACTTTTAGCCATTACCTTTCTCAAAGCCTTTGCATGTCCGGTCAATTTTCACGGCATGTAGGCTACTTTCTAGGTATTATAAAATTTCTACAATATGTTTCTAATTGATCAAACTAAGAATCTAATCTTTTTGGATCACTATCATACACCGGTATCTCCACCTCAGCCTCAACTCTTAATAACTCCCTGTCTAGATTAATAGCTCTATGTCATCACTATCCTCTTCATCACCATCATATTCGATATGTGTGAGGCACTTCCTCTTTTTAGCAATTAAAGTGTTGGCAATCTCCCCTTACATCTAAGATACATTCATTTAATTTTGTATTCACGACATAATGAAAGTAATATCATTACATAGCTTTTTGACCTTCTTTTCAAGACTAAGGTTTATAGGAGCTAAACCCTCATTATTGTTGTTATTGGTAACCATTCAATTTGTAGATTTCTAAACTGGTCGGCGATGACATTACAACACTAACAAAGATTCTCCAGTAGCTTTATAACTGGATTTGATTTGCACCATTCATAGGCAAGGAATAATGCTATGATAAATATGACCAATAATTTTCGAAACGCTAAACAATGTCCAAAAATGGATTAATAATATCAATAATGAAAATCCAAATCTAATCCATAATAAATAATTAGGAAAAACTAATTTACAAACCATTATGAAAGCTAAAAGTGCTTTATAGCTTGACATTATTTAAATTGTAACAAGTAATCAAGACCAACCCATCTTTCCTTGCTCCTATTTATCCTAGAACGCTAGAACATTTCTAACTCTTCACCTTAAGATGACTAAAATCAGTTATTGAATGGTTAATTCTTATCAGAAGTGAAAATTTTCAATCATAACATAATTGTCAAATGCTTTCAAAAAAACCTTTGATTAGTCTTCAGTGAAACTTTTCTGAATTTGTATGATTTGGATGATTTTAGATGAGATCCCAAGCCTTCTTTTCATATTATAACCCAAGGAATCCTAAGAGATATAAGAATCCTTGGAGGGTTTGGAAACCCCAAAAATCTTAAAAAATTGTGAAAAAATCTCACTGTGGCATGTCATCGTAGGCTCTGGCACGCTATAGGGCACTAATTCTAGTGAGCAACCTGCTACACCAAGCTCTAATGCATTATGGCCCTTGCTATAGTAACTACTACAATAACTCTTTTTTTTTTTTTTTTTTTTTTATAACAAAACCGTCTCACATCCAAACTTCCAAATGGATATTTCCCAACCCTAAATCTCTTAAAGATCTTCCCGGATCAAATACCAAACATCATATCGCGAGACCTAAGCACCCAACTAGAAAACATCTTCTTTTAAGAAGTTCAAGATAAGGAATAGTCTCCCAACTTTAAAGTTCTCATTTCGAACATCTCTTCAGTGCATAAATCTCATTTGTTAGTTCCTTTTGGCAAACAAATGCTTAAAGAAGATATTGACTAATCAGGAAATGTAAAAACATCATCCTGTCACATATAATAAACTACTAGAGACTGAACAATAAAACTACCGCAGCAATCTGTGAAAGAAATCCAACCAAAGAACATCTGATCATCTTCCCAACAAAATGCAGTAAAAACAGCTTGGAAACTCCACATACTGAAGAAAGGTGATAGAATCTAACTTCTGAAAATGGAAACAAACAATTCTCATTGCTGAATTCACAGATACAAAACAAATTCAGGACATTTGAGAGATCCTGTGCTCTCCCGACTAGCTTTCTCACTCAACACTCTCATAACTCCTCTCCTCTTGCTTCTCCTATTTATTCCTCCTTCAGTTACAACTAAAAAACTAATCTAACCAAGAAATAACAGAATTCCTAAGTGAAAGACAGCAACACAACTCTTAACAGTTTTATCCTACACCTCAGCCTTCTTCCTTCTAACATATACATGCTGTAATGGAGATTTCCTAACAAGAGGTCACTAATCTCTTGTTTCTCCTAAATTCCCTCACAAGTTGATTGATGACGAGCACCAAGCAAAGTAACACAATCTACAACCAACTCCATTTTTGGTTGAAGAAGTGAAAAATTTAACAAAATATTTGAGCTGACTAACAATATAAAAGTGTGTATAACGTACATTTATAGAAATTCTATGGATATCTACAATTATAGAGATGCTATGGATATCTAACTCTAGTAACAATTGATTCTTTATAGTGGTATGTCAGCTACAGTACATAAATATTCAAAAAGAATCAACCAGCAAAGGGAACACAAAATAAATATGTGACCACTGCACAAAATATATTTATTCCAGATTAGGGCAAAGAAGGGCATTCAGTGACTCCAATACAGCAGAAAGAAGTGATGCAATGGCAAGAGCATGAAGGATCATAACACTAGATGAACTAATTACCATGCACCTTAAAACATTTTATCAGCAGATAACAGTAATATATGAGCTACCAATCACACTATTAACCATCATAATTTCTCCTTTAGTACTGACAAGACGCAGAATCATTATAGAGAAAGAATTTATCGGCAATGGCAAGAGTCAATTTCCTTGCTATGCCAAAAAACAAAGATTACTGCCATAAAAGTAGCAATAACATGATTAATAGATTATTAAATGCAACAGGTAAATGCACTAATCCTTGTAGTAAAACTTCTAATATAATTGATATTTCCAATACGCTCATCCTGATCATTTTATTACCTTGGAAAGTATCAGGTCCAATATACCACACAACAACAGCATGCAAGTGGCACTTCAAGTAAAATCAGAGAAAAGAATATCAGGCGCCAACATATCACCCTGTAGCACTCTACGCAGAGATATCATTATCTTCACTGTCACCTTGCCGTAATTTTGCAATCTCAGCACGGGCTCTCTCCAGAATCTGCCTTTTCTGTAATTCCAACTCCCTATGGAAATTTATCCTCATCTTTTCCAATTCTAACAATTGCCGTCTTTTATTATTTTCAATCTTCTCATATATCTCACTGAATTTCTCAATAGAATCTGCAAGCAATCTGAAGGAAGCTCCATCATCTTTATCCCTATCCATTTTTGATCTCTTAGGTGGAAGCCCATCTGAATCATTTTCTGCACGTTCTGCAGATTCTGAATTGCCAAGGCTACTCTGCATTTCATCCAATCCATTAACACAATTCAAATAAGCTTTTGGTTTCCTCAAAACAAATTCCCCCGAGTCTACCCCACATGAAAGGCTTTGTTGTGGTGAGGATGACATTAACATTTCCATTTTCCTAAAATACACCCATTTACTGGTTGTACCTCTGCTCTCAGTCAATTTACTCTTCTCTTTCTTGTATTTTTTCTTCAATGTGTCCAAACGATTTCGACATTGAGTGTCTGTCCTCTCAAGTTTTGATCCCTGCGATACCTTCTCTGCAACTTCTTTCCACTCTTCAGACCTAAGACTCTTCCTCCCGTGTTTCAGGAATCGTTCACCCAAGCATCTAGGAGAACAAATGTCTCTTGTTCAGTCCAATCAGCAAGTGAACCACGTCCACCAGGTGATATCTTTGAGGCAGATGCAGATGCAATTGTTGGAGCTGGCACTCGCGGAGCAAATTCATAACTTGATAGCAAGCTCTTTAACTTCCGCTTCTTTTTATGCCTTTCTAAACCATCGTCTTCATCCTCTTGAATGCTCTTACTATAACCATTTGGTTTGTCATCTTCTTCCTCATCCTCATCAGAGCCATCCTCATTGCCATCATCATTCTCATTATCTTCAACTTTGAACATTTGTATATTAGAAATATCCTCATTGACATGATCATTATCATCTTCCTCGACCATTTCATCTTCATCCTCATCATCAACATACTGATTCGGAGAATATGATGCATTCTGAACTGGAAGCTTTGGGCACTGGGATGACCCATAGCCTTCACTCAAACCATATGAGTTAGGTGGGTATCTTGCATCATCGTCTGTGTCGTCCATTCAAATAGAACTGATCAATAGAACTCAACAAAAAAATAAGCTTTAAAAGCCAAATTTGTATTCTTCAATCACCAATTCATCAAGGATTCACATATTATAACATATAATAAGACCCACAATAATTCTAGTCTCAAGTGCTGGCTTTCAATTCAAAACCACCATAATCAATTCTGCACTATGATTAGATCCCTGGACAGTAGCATCCACTTATCCTGATAGCACATAGTTATTCCTGTAAAAGGTAAATTCCCAAATTCACCACAACTGCATCAAATTCTGATAAGAAATACAGCTCTCCTCTTTTACAACTAGAAAATGCACAAAATTTTTGACAAATAACCTGCATTTCATAATTAAAAATGAAAAATTAATTCAGTTAGAACATTAACAACTGCAACTCAGAAAATAATAAAAGAGAGGAGAACACTAAATTTTGTCATACAATTTTTACAATTTCAATACCAGCCCACTAAACTCGTCTTCTCCATGATACTAAAGCAAAGAAAAGCATAAATCTTCACTTACCTCCAACTATGCGCACTCTTCCCCAAGAAATCCCAAACTCTAGAACTTCAAGCAAAATTGAATGCAGAACAAGCAAATAAATCCTAGTCAATGTTTAAACAAAGATATATTGTTAATTCATGTGACCGCCCTTCAACCAATAACTGGTCAAATTGGAGAAGACAAAACCCTAGCTCAAGCAGAATCTCATCCTAGGATTTCATAAGTTCACTAAAAGATGATAGTAAAATCTTTATATCTTTGGACTGATTAGAAATGTGTAACAGCTGAAGGACGGTAACTGGAAGTGGCGTACCATTAATATGCACCGGATGCTTCTGTTGCCCACCATACATATATTTGGTGTCACACTGCTGTTTTACTCAGCTAATATCACACCCACCCTGCCTAGGATGGCCATAACCCTGGACTCCAGCAGAGTTCAATCTAAAACTTGAACTTAAAACACCTGTAAATAAAAATTTCCACCATGGCATCTCCAAAGTTTATTTCATGAATATATAGATAGTATTTATAGAACACATTTACACCATAACCTCTAAGGTAAGAAAAGCATAATTTACATCCTTAGATTTCCCAAACAAAATTACAAATAACTGTTTGAATAACCAAGTGTCTAGAAATGACATGTACAACTATACTTCCAATATGGAGTTCCAAAAAATACTTATAAGGGGTAAGCATGTGAGTCAAACAACCCCGTAAATAATATGATCCAAACTTTTGTAAAATATAAAATAGAAATTTAAATAAATAAAACTTTAAATCAGAAATTTAAGCATTAATGTAGATCATACTTTTAACTTAAAAACTATAAAAAATGATTCAACAAATAACCAGGTGTGCATATATTCTTTAAATCAAAAATTTAAGCATTAATGTAGATCATACTTTTAACTTAAAAACTATAAAAAATGATTCAACAAATAACCAGATGTGCATATATTCGTAGAAGAAATTGTTCGATTATGTCACTAGTTGGGTACACCTATTACCTCTTGACAATTTTCTAGAATCTATGGTAAGGTGAATTCATATACATGAATCTATAATGACATGTAATCATACATTTATGAACCACTCAAGGATTAGTAACAATCTAAAACTCCAAGGGCATATCCATGCTACCATTTGTGAGTCATTTCCATAAGCTACTCGAGGAGTAGTAACCATCTCAACTTGGGAGCTAGACCATTACAATTCCATGATATTCTGTAGTTTTAACATGATATACAACCAGCGGAGTAGTAAGAATCTCAACTCGGGAGCTAAAACATGATACACTTCCATTATAAATTCCTGTGATCACATATATTGGCAGTAGTAGTAGTGTGAAAACTAGGTGTTACATCATTCCAACAGTCTACATAAAAGCTGTTATAGTTGTCTTGCATCACAAAATATGTAACATTCATCTCATTTTACTCCATGAAACATATCATTTCAATTCATAATAACTAGAACTCAAATCATATAAACAATTCAATCAAATATCATTTCATAGTCCTTAATATAATCCTTGATATACAACCATGAACATTCATTTGCAATCATAATTATCATCTACAGAATATTTTGATTTATGATATTTGCTAGTTGAAATATAAATTATATAACCAATTCAATCAAGCATTCCACATAATCTCCTTTGTAATATTTAAAGTAAAAATGATGAATAATTAATTACAAAAATAATTTCACTTTCAGATTGTTGCATTATTAAACCACTCACCTGAAATAAGCCGGCTTTGGAAGTCCCTGGACCGATTTCTGGACTCACCACTTTGCCTAAAATTAATAAATCAAACCAAATATGACTTAAGGCCTGAATATCTTAAGGCATGCATGTCAATGGCATGCAATGAAGTAAGATGTCATAAATCTAACTATGATCCTAACTTATGTGTGCCAAACATGGCCTTACATTAAATAGCTTTTCCCGAATCTTCAAAAATTCATGGATGACTTCCAAAATATTCAAAAAGCCCTTTTAAAAGATCAAAATGTCACCAACTTGTGAAATAAGCCAAAAGTGGCTTCCAAATCCAACACCTTTGCGCATGCGCGCGCGCTCACACACACACACACACATATATATATTACAAGAAATTCAGAGCAAAAAATTAAAGATTCAAAAACACTTTCTCATAGGAAAATGTTCAAAAGTAAAACCAATCAAGCCGTAATAAAACAATTTGACAAAACAGCCTCAAGTAACATATGCTGAAGCAGTTCAGTCAACCCAAAACTTAAAACTTGTCCATTCTAGCCATATCCAACAATTACTTATACAGGCTAAATCATGTATTATCGCGGTTCTACATCTCAGTAAAATTCCATAATCAAGATATTCCCAAACTTCATGAAAGATAAAAAAAAAAACAAAAAAATTCACGAGAGTAAACAAAACTACAAAATCTTACCTCTCTGTAGTGGTTTGGAGATGCTAAGAGTGATTTCTTGAAGATTTAAGATGGTTTGATGAAGAGATTTCAAGCTAGGGTTTGAAGGTCAGTAAAAATGGAGGAAGGAGAAGACGCAGGGTGAAAATTGAGCGAGAAAATAAGTGGCTCGGCGAGAGAGACCATCCGCTGAGGATTTACATAAAGGGTCCTTCTTTATTGCCCTCTGATACTTCAAATGTTTTAATATTATAATTAGAACCCACTGAAGTTTAATTTCCGAATTAGGTCTCTTACGAATCAATTTAACAGCTCCAATTTTTATGTTTAATTTCCTCCACACACACACACACACACACACACACTCTTGAATAAATTGTTTAAGTTATTAATTTTTTGCGTAAAAAGAATCACAAACTCTTGTGACACCATTTTGTTAGTTTGTGAAATATTTAATTTAATTGATCTATATATATATATATATATATATGTATTAAAATTATTCATATAACTGTCATTTATTAGCACAAATTACTATATATGAGTGGTAAATGTCTAACTTTTTTATGTAATATTAAATTTATATATATAAATTTTATATATTTTTATATCTACCGTTCATATCAGTACCAAACATAAATTTACTTTAAACCAATTCAAATATATTTGTAGTATTTAACAGTCAAATAGATTAATTATTGAATCAAATATAAACCAATGAAAATTCTTTTCTAATAGTTGGTTTAGTTTATTAGTTCGGTTGATTAAACTAGTTTAGTCAAATTTTAATTAAATCATATCAAATTAAGATTTAACTTGATTGGATTAAAAGGAATCAAATATGATTTGAATCAATTTTACAATTTGATTATCTTCTATACACTCATAATTTTACATATAAATTCTTAATCAAAAAATATTATGCATTAAGCTATTAAGTTTAAGAAAAATTAAAGCACCGATTACATTAAGCCATAATACCCTTCTTTACAAAGATATTTGGTAAATAGGTAGAACATCTTAGCAGGTTAAATTTTAGAGTTCAGAAAATACTCTTTTACTTCAAGATTTATTTAAATAATACTTAATTTCATTCTTATTCTCGAAAAATACTCATCTCGTTTGACTTAAGTTAACTAACAGTTTCTATACAATTGTCATTAGATAATATTATTTTAAAATAGCAAAATTACTTTTTCATTATATATATATTATATAAATATATTTTATAAAAATAAAATAAATTTCTTATCAAATAAAATAAAATTGTTTTTGTTATAATCAACAAATATTAAGAAGTTGATTCAATTATTAAAAATTTTAAAAAATTATAAATTTTTTATTTTTATATTATTTGATTTAATATGAAAAATTAAAAAATT